TTGATATTCGATCCAAGTTATCTTCAGCTAAGACGTTAGGAGCAATCAGAAGTGACAGGGTCTCATCAAATAAATTTCTTGAGTGGACCTTGGGGACGGCTGAGTTCAACCCCAGCTTTATACGAACCACAAGAAAGGTTCATTACACCCTTCTTCGCTTAGTTGTAGTAAGTGTTTCAGTTAAATTCTCGTTTGTTACTGGGAGTTCTGCTTCTTCAATTTCTTCTTCTTCAGACCCTTCTTCTTCTTTGACTGTTTCTTGTATTTTTATGTTATTCTGGTCTGTTACTTTGTTATTTATTAAGTTTACTTCCACTCCAAAAGTTTGACAGTTGTATATATTGCCTTCAAAGACGTCTGATTGATGTTGGCTATTGTCGAATCTGTTTGTGAATCTAACATCTCGACTTCTGATAACCTTTCTGGCAGAAATGTTCCACAATCTGTATGCCTTTGACGATTCTTCGTAACCTATGAAAATACATTTTGTTGATTTTGGTGCAAATTTACCTTTTTCGGGCGTTTTGTTTAGTGCGTAAGCAATAGTTCCAAAATTTCGAAAGTATTTAACGTTCGCATGCGTCTTTGTCCATGATTGAATTGCTTCGGCCCAAAAATTATTCGGCAGGCCACTCTCTAGTAACAAGCAGCGTGCCATCTCAACCGGAGTTCTATTTTTTCGTTCTGATACTCCATTCTGCTGTGGAGTGTGTTCAACTGTTAGCTCGTGTCTTATACCTTCATTTTTCAGAAAAGCTGAATACTCGTAGTTTACATATTCTTTTCCATTGTCAGTGCGTAATGTTTTTATTTTTTTTCCAGTTTGTTTTTCCACCATACTTTTATGTTCTTTGAATTTTTTAAAAACTTCATTTTTTTGTTACATAAAGTATATTTTGCAGCATTTGCTCTTGTTGTCTATGAACGTTACAAAGTGTTTTGAATGTCCGTGTGACTGTACACGCATCGGTCCACAAACGTCTGAGTGAACTAACTCCAGCAATTCATTGGACTTTGTCTCAGATTCACGGAATGGTGTTTGAGTTTGCTTGCTATGAATGCAAACTTCACATATTAATAAATTTGATTGAATGCTTGCATCGATTCCTTTTACTTTTTCATATTTTATTATGTTTTTTAGGTCAATCTCATTTAGATGACCAAACTTTTGGTGCCACTCCAGTTGGGGCTGCTGGTACATAGTATAAGTTTAATTTTCTAGATGCTGTGAGCATTTTCTTGCCGGTTTTCGGATTGGTCACAACTGCTCCATTTCGATGGAATGTCACTTCATAACCATGATCAGTAAGCTTTGATACTGACATAAGATTTGATCGCAGGTCGGGAACGTATAATGTTTCGCCTAGGTTTGCAGTTACGATACTTGTTTTTAGAATAACGTTTCCGGTTCCAGTAAATTTTGTTGATTTATCGCTAGCAAGTTTCAAAACTTGTTCTCCGGTTTTCAGTTCTCTAAATATTTCTTTCTGAGAGCACATATGTAACGTAGCTCCTGAATCAAGACACCATTTGTCATTTTCACTGCGTACTGTCATTGCTACTTCTAATTTGTTATGCTCCACATATTTCGCTTTGTTTTCAAAATTGTAAGTTGTGGCTCTGCTTTTGATTTTATATCTGCATTCCTTGATTTTGTGCCCAATTATGGCAAGCGTATTTAAATTTTTCATTTTTATTATGAAACTTGGGCTGTTGCCAATTTTCATTGTTTTTCTTCGCAAATAATGCATCTTCTCGTGTTTCACTGCTGCTGCGTTTTCTTGCTTTAAATTCATCGATCATTTCGATTTTCAGTGTTTCAGGATCAAGTAATTTGTCCTGTGTTTCTAATGCTACTCTAAACTGTTCATAATCATCAGGCACGCTGTACAGTAATAGAATTGTTACTAAGTCGTCGTCAATCTTTATATCCATTTCGTGAATTTTGTCTAAAATGTCAAAAAATTTCTTAACATGATCGTGCATGTTTTCATCGTTGTGCATTTTCAGCAAAATTAATGTCTTTAGCAACGTTGCTTTTCTTGCAGGCCCCTTAGATTGAAAAATATTTTCTAACTTGCTCCAAAGTTGTTTTGATATTTCACAATCTTTATTTGTTTCAATTCAGATGTTGAAATAAGTAAAATCAATTCGGCTTTTGCTTTTGAGCCATTTAGTTCCCATTCGGCAATAGCTGCATTGTCGGTGGTGGGTTTTTCGCATTGTCCATTGATATACTTCCACTTGTCGTTTTTGATTAATAAAGCTTAAATGCGACATGTTAATGCTTAAATGCGCTTGCTGAAGTTTGTACAATACTATGTCTAGGTGTTTTTCATGTTTGGCTGCATCTTTGGAAAAAACCAAAATGTCATCTAGACAGCAAAAAACTAACTGTACAGACCGGAATATGTAGTCCATATGGCGCTAAAACGTTTGAGCTGCGTTTTTAAGCCCAAATGGCATTACGACGAATTCAAACATTCCCACTGCAGCGTTGACTGCAGTTTTGCAAATATCTTCCGGGTCCATTAGTATGTTATAATAGGCTCTATTGATGTCGATTTTAGAGAAGATCAGACTCCCGTGAAGTCGTTCTGATACCTGATCAATGTATGGTATCGGGTAGCGGTCTGGTTTTGTGTTGGCGTTCTGCTTACGGTAGTCACGATACTCTCCAACCACCTGTGATTTTTCTAACCAGGTGGATAGGGCTCGGCCATGGACTGTTTGCTGGTCGCACGATTCCTTGCTCCTAAAGTGTGCGGAATTTATCACGAATTGCTGTTAATTTCGCACCCGAATATCTTCTTGGCTTTTCTGTGAATGGTTGGCATTCTGTTTCAATTGGATGGCTTACCTGGGAGCTTGTTGGCAATTTGTAATTGTTAGGATTGGATAAGTTAATGTATCTGCGAATTACGTTAGGTAATTTAGTAGAGGCATTTAGAATAGATATCGAGTGTATTTCCGCGTTCTTTACAGTCCCTGTGACGGATAAATACGTGAAAGGATCAATCAGTTGTCTGGCCTTCATGTTTCGCACCAACCCGAAATTTGCCCAGAAATCTGCGCCTATGATTGATAACTTGACCTTGGTTATTAAAAAAGTTCCAGATAAAATTGCGACGCAGTCCTAAATCAATGCACATTCTTCGAATTCCGAAAGTGTTGATGGTTATGTTGTTTACTGCAAACAGCTTGATGTCGCCTGGAATTGCATTTGTGTTTTGCGCTATTGAGGTGAGTGGAATAACAGATACTGCTGAACCAGTATCGACCAGAAAATTTAATTTGCTCGCCTTATCGAGAATATGAAAACGGTTTTCGCTTCTGCAGCTAAAGAGTGCGTTATCGCCTGCTGCACATTGTGGCGGTAACGACTTTAGTTTCCCGTATTGAAATTAAGCTTTTTGGATGCTTCGATGAGTTCGCACGGCTGTTGACATTTTGTGGCATTTGCGCCACAACGTGCATGATAAAAGCATAACTTACTACGGCTTTGGCTGCGCCGATTGCTGCTTCTTCGACTACTGTGACCAGATCTAACTTCTGATGTCAAACTGCTGACAGTTGCTATTAATTGTTGGATAGAAGTCTCGAGTGACAGTACCCTTGATTCTAAAGATGGAACGCTTTTTGTCTCACTATTAATTGTTACGTCGGTGTATTGTGACGTGGTCATAACGTAGTGCGCAGATGGCGTCGGTGTATTGTGACGTGGTCATAACGTAGTACGCAGATGGCATATTATCCATTATTCTGTCGGCTAACTCTGCTGTTTGATCTGTATTACCTGTGTTACTTGCAGACAAAATGCACCTTAGATTGCTAGGTAGCCGTTGAAGCCAAAGTGCTGCTAAAGCTTCTTTAGAGACATTCGTACCAGCTAAATTTCGCATTTCCCTAAGTAACTGTGTTGGCCGTTTATTTGATAACTCTAAATTAGTTAATAATTTCACCAGTTGTTTTTGTTTCGATTCTAGACAACTTTTTATCAGTTCTTTTTTTAACATTACAAATTTGTCTGTGGTGGGTGGACATTTCGCGATATCAGCAACTTGATGCAAGGTATTATGATCCAGTGCCGTTATGACAGTGTAAATTTTTGTAGATGGTGCTGTTGTGCACATCTGCAAAAATATACACGCTGTGGAAAATGTTGTTTTTCCACAGTATACTGATGCTAGCAGCAAAGAGACTGTTGAATATTTGTTTATATTATATTATATTATTGTTTTTATTAATTTTGTATGAATAATTTGTTATTTTTATTTGTATTGTAATAATTGTGTTAAATATATTTGGTGTAAAAAATAACGTTGTCAATGCAATGCCCAAAATACGTCATACGCTTCTGCTGGCACATGAAAACAAAAGCATCAAATTTCGTCTGCAAGAAAATGCACTCTTGCAGTTTGCAATAAGTTCATTGTTTGGCATGCATTGTCAAGGTTATTTTAGTTAATTTATTTGTTGTAAATTAATTATCAATTTTAAATAAAAGGCACAATTGAGTTTTTGACAATTCAATTGATGCGAAGCCACATTCGTTATCGATTCTTTTTTGTTCGTTCTAATAGCTTGTAGAGTTGGTTCAAGTACCAAATTTACACCATATAAGCACCTGCCTACTGGATTCAAGTGTTCAGTAATCAGGATAATTTAGGACAATCGTCAAATCACTGGGTTCAAGTGCTCAGTGGTTCTCGTGTTCAAATAAGTCAACATAAGTACTGGATTTAAGAGTTCAGTACTTGCAAACAGTTGATTTCAACCTTTGATTCAGCGTGTGATCATACATTTTGGTGTGATCGTACATTTTGGTGACCCCGACGTGATAGACGGGCGTACATTTTGGTGACCCCGTGAAACGGACAGCAGCACAGGACTGGTTTGACGCAGCAACAGTCAACAATCAACAGTCAGCGGTTAAGTTTCAGCATTCAGCATTCGAAGAACATTCTTACGCACATTTGGCAAAAAACTACAAATCATCAATGACAACTCTTAATGAACTCATAGATGCCCAAAAAGAAAAGGGCGAAGAGATTCAGCGAATCATCAGGAACTTCAAAAAGGATTCGGCTGAACGCAAGCAAACATCAGCATACTACAGTGAAAGATTTCGTCGACTTGATGTTGCTTGGAAGCAGTTTGAACAAACGGACACAATGCTCAGAACTCTCATCGATCAACCGACAGATGATGAGTATTTTACATCTTCCTATTACGAGAAAATAAGAGAACTAACAAATGAATACAGTGAAATATTCAAGACAGAAGCCCTTCGGATCAAAGCAGCAGACAACTTTGGTGAAGCTGCTAATAACCAAGAGGCATCACAGCCGTTACTAGTGGTTACGACAAATGGTTTGATAAGAAAAATATCTGCTCGAATGGCAGCTCTAAAAAGATTAGTAGAGAGCTTGTCAGAGAGCGAAGGCATACAGCCACTTCAATATTACGAAATTAAATCAAACACAATCATGCAACATTGGAACCAATTGGAATGTTTGCATGATGAACTATGGGAAAACTTTGAAAATCCACTGATGTCAGGATTCAATCAAGATGAGTATTACCAAATTGAAGACTTGGTACAACAATGTTTGATAGAGTTGTCCATAAAATTGGATCAATTACAACAGAAACAAGCAACAGTAGCAGAACCAAACATGCGGTCCTCACTGCCATTGCCAAAGGTAACGATCCCAAGTTTTAATGGGAATTACTTAAAATGGAGGCAATTTTTTGACTTGTTTACACAAATGGTAGACAATCAGCCACTACCAGCTGCTCAAAAAATGTGGTACTTGACATCACATGTGACAGGTGAAGCTGAAAAATTGATAAGTCATTTCAGCATAACGGAGGACAATTATTTGGCAGCTTGGACATTACTGCAAGACCGTTATAATAATAAAAGGGTCTTGGCGTCCACATTAATCGATGAACTTCTACATCAGCCATCAGGCACATCAACTGTGGCAGCAGTTAAAAATTTACATGACACAACGAAAGAGTGTCTATTAGCACTAAACAATCTTGGCGTTCAAACGACATTTTGGGACCCAATTTTGTTACAGGTACTAATTAAAAAACTCGATCGAGCGATGCTCATTAGATATGAGCAATCTTTGGCAAAACCAAAAGAGATACAAAACATTCAGGAGTTTTTAGCCTTTTTAGAACTACAGTTCCAACTGATGGAAGTTGTAGAACAAAAAGATAAGGTGGCTATAATCGAAATAACTCAGTGTCATCGGCTGTAACAGTTTCTAAAGGAAACAACAATTGCAAACTGTGCAATGTAGACAGGCACCCACTGTATCATTGCCGTAAATTTTTGCAATTTTCACCATCTCAACGATTGGATTGGGTGAAAAATCAACAGCTCTGTTTTAACTGTTTCAGGAATGATCATGTGGTGAACAAATGTTCATCAAGAAGTTGTACCAAATGTAATAAAAAGCATAACACGTTGCTACATTTGGAAGTTACAAAACAGAACATTCAACCTAGCTCAAGTGGGTACAACACCGCAGTTACCACAGCGACAGCAAACACATCCACAGGTCATCGTGATTATGTTCTCTTGCCAACTGCAAGAGTCAAAATAACTGCATCGAATGGAAATACAAGTGAAGTCCGAGCATTACTAGACTCTGGTTCGCAAGTGAACATAGTCTCTGAGCGTCTTGTCAAAAGGATCAATATATCAAAAACAAAATCGTTATTGTGCATAGAAGGGATAGGAAAGGTTCAAAAAAATTCAACGCAGCGAGTTAACATCAAATTGCAATCACTTAACTCAAGGTTTACTACAGAAGTCGAAGCGTTTGTGCTTCCAAATATAGTTCCACCTCAACCAAGTTGCAGTTACGATATTTCCAAATGGAAGGTCCCGAACACCATTCAGTTAGCAGATCCAACATTTTTCCAACAAGGGAAAATTGATATTTTACTCGGTGCGGAGTTCTATTTTAGTCTGTTAAAGAAAGGTAAATTAACGCTTGCTCCTGGGCTTCCAGTCTTGCAAAATTCTACACTTGGCTGGATTGTCAGTGGCAAGGTTGCATTAAATACAGACACATCAAACGTTTTATGTGCAGTTTTTGGCGGTGGGGCGGAGGTTGTTGATAATAATTCATCGTTAGAAGATGCAATTGAACGATTATGGCGAATGGACGAGGTGAATACAACAGAGAGGACATTATCCAAAGAAGAAAAATTATGCGAATCTCATTTTGTGCAGAACGTCCATACAAATAAAGAAGGACGTTTTGTGGTAAGGTTGCCGTTTCTGGAAAACTCATTGACGTTAGGGGAATCTCAAGAAACAGCTTGGAGAAGGTTCATCAGTCTTGAACGACGACTAGCAAAAAATGATGTTTTGCGGAAACAATATGTCCAGTTTATGGAAGAGTATGAGCGATTGGGTCACATGACTGAAGTAAACTTGGATTCCATGTTGACTCCAAGATATTTCATTCCTCATCATTGCGTACTAAAACCAGATAGTACAACTACTAAACTTCGAGTGGTGTTTGACGCATCAGCCAAAACTACATCTGGACACTCGTTGAATGATTTAATGTATAACGGACCGACAGTTCAAAGTGAACTCTTTTCAATTCTGCTCCGTTTTAGGCGACCACGGTTTGTTTTTACCACAGATATCGAAAAAATGTATCGTCAAGTTCTGATAAATCCTGAAGATCGACGCTATCAACTTATCATTTGGAGAAGCAGTCCAAATTCAACGATTCGTTATTATCAGCTAAACACAATTACATATGGGATTCGAGCAGCTCCTTACCTAGCAACAAGATGTCTGGAAAAGATAGCATCAGAAAACAAGGTGAATTATCCATTAGGAGCTCAAATCCTGTGTGACAATTTCTACGTCGACGATGGGCTCGGTGGATCAGATAGTTTAATTACGGCTATTGAAGCTCAAAGACAACTAATCCATATTTTGAAGAAGCAACATTTTTGTCTTCGGAAATGGAGCGCAAATCATCCTCAACTGTTGAAAAACATTTCTCAAGATGATCAAGAGGTAAATCTAGATTTCGATAATAACGAGTCAATCAAAACGCTGGGATTATTTTGGTTGCCCAAGGCGGATTTATTTGGAATTAAGGTCAAAATGGTTACTGAAGGAATAATCACGAAGAGAGTCGTTAGTTCTGATTTAGCTAGACTGTTCGACCCACTTGGGTTATTAGCTCCAGTAATAGTGAAGGCAAAGATTTTCATACAACACTTATGGCAGTTGAAATTATCTTGGGATGAACCACTTCCTACAGATCTTCGTACAACGTGGTCAACATTTAGAGAAAACTTAAGTACTCTTGAAAATCTTCAGGTGGCAAGACATATCTTCAGAGGCGAGGTTCCATCATCAACACAGCTACATATTTTTGCTGACGCGTCTGAAAAGGCATTTGGCGCTGCAGCATATGTCAGAGCAATTTTAAAAGATGGTAGAATAATAGTGCGACTATTATGTGCAAAGTCAAGAGTAGCTCCACTCAAAAAACAAACGCTACCGCGACTAGAGTTATGTGCGGCAGTCTTAGCAGCGGAACTCTCAGCAAGAGTGAAAAGCGATCTTCAAGAGAAGGACCAGCCGGTATTTTTGTGGACTGATTCAGAAATTGTGTTATCTTGGATCAACTCACAGTCCTTATCATTTCAAACATTTGTAGCTAACAGGGTGGCAAGAATTCAAACTTTAACTCTGTCTGAACAGTGGCGCCATGTTAGGTCAAACGACAACCCAGCTGATGTGTTATCAAGAGGACTTTCAGCAAGGGCGTTGTCAACATGTGCACTTTGGTTTCAAGGACCGTTCTTTTTGCATGGAAGACAGGAAGTATTGCCACCAAGGTTTTCATCATCATTACAAGTTCCAGTCGATCTGGAGAAGAAGAAGGTTGTAGCTGTAGCAACTCAAAGCAATGACGCAGATTTCATATACAGGATTCAGCATAAGAATTCATTTAAGACGTTACAAAAGATAGTAGCATATGTTCTTAGATTCACTAACAACGCAAGAAAATCAAAGGAGTCACGTGCCACACATATAGTACTTAGTGCCAACGAATTGGATGCAGCATTAATAACTATAATATTTCACATTCAGGGTAATGATTTTCATGAAGAAATCAAACAACTGAAGAAACAAGGTCATGTTGATAAATCTAGTTCAATCAGTAGTTTATCTCCATTCATTGATAATGCAAATGTTCTTAGAGTAGGAGGACGCTTAGAAGCCTCATCATTACCATACGATTCTAAACACCCAATGCTGATCCCATACAATGATCCATTGGCAAAATTATTATTCGTGATGTTCCATGAAGAAAACAAACACTGTGGCCCACAGGCACTATTGAGTACAGTCCGACAACGTTTTTGGCCGATTAAAGGTAAATCAACAGCCAGAGCAACGGTTCAGCGATGCATTCGATGCAACAAAGCACGTCCGCAACTATGCCAACAAATTATGGGCAATTTACCAGAATCAAGAATAACTCCTGCAAGACCCTTTATTAATGCTGGTGTAGATTATTGCGGACCATTTTGGATCCACTACAAGGTGAGGGGCAAAAAGCCAACAAAGGCATATATTGCTGTCTTTTGTTGCTTTTCTACAAAGGCGGTACATCTCGAGTTAGTGACCGACTTATCAACAAATGTTTTCATTGGAGCATTGAAACGATTTATAAGTCGACGAGGGCGTTATTTGAATATTTACAGTGATAACGCAACAAACTTCGTAGGCGCCAAAAACCAGTTAGCAGAATTAGAAGAAAGCATTTATTCTAATGAAGGACAAGAAGCAATAATCTCTGCCTGCAGTACCACAGGAATAAATTTTCATTTTATTCCACCAAGGGCTCCACACTTTGGCGGTTTATGGGAAGCATCCGTAAAGTCCGCAAAATATTTGTTACTACGCAGCGTTTCAACAGCATCATTGACGTATGAAGAACTCGAAACAGTAGTGGTGGAAATTGAAGCGATATTAAATTCACGACCATTGACTCCAATGTCCAATGATCCAACTGATTTGACAGCATTAACTCCAGGACACTTATTAATTGGAGAAGCTCTTACAACTCATGTAGACAGCCGATCGAAACCAGAAAAACACACGTTATTGTCACTTTGGAATCTAGTTTCCCAGTTAAAACATAATTTCTGGAAACGCTGGTCTAACGAATATTTGATGGAACTGCAACAACGTAACAAATGGAAAACACAATCTGCCAACATACAGTTAGGAGACATGGTTATAATCAAAGAAGATAACGTCCCAGTGATGCAGTGGCCCTTGGGACGAATTGTACATGTGTACAAGGGTACAGATGGACATATCCGAGTAGCTGATGTTAAAACATCGGCAGGCATTTTTAAACGCCCAATTCATCGATTAGCTATACTGCCTGTAAATACAGATGATCAACCAACAATGGCTGAAGCTGATCACGAAGTACCTCCTGACAAGTTAATTATGAAAAATAGAAAAGAGTCGTATGAAGAGCCCAAGACAAAACGTAGAAAACTGCCGACCAATTTGTACTGTTCTGTATTACTTACACTATTACTAAATATAATTAATTAATTAATTCAATTATTCTACAGCTGGTTTATGATTTCGTTCTAATATATAAATACAGCAAGTAAAATTGTTATTAAAAACTTTCATAGCAAAAGTAACAAAACTCCAGCAAAAATATGCGAACATGAAAAGTCAAGTACGGCTTTGGATCAGTTGGTTAAGGTGCGCTGATTCTGAGCTTCATATTTGTCAGGACCCGAGTTCGATTCCTGGTACTTGCAGTCTCAAAAATAATTATTTACGAATAATTAAATATAAGAATTATTTCCAAGACCACTGATGAAAGGTATTTGGCAATACTCGAAACAGCTGTATGGTCAGCCAAAAATTCAATTAATTAAAATAATTAAAAAAAAAAAATTAATTATTGTTGTTTCACTTCTGTTCGAAAACCTCTTTATGTAAATATAACAAGTTTCTATTAAAATTATAATAGTCACTTCCGTCTGGAAAATTTGACGTTAAATTACAACTTATTCACAAAAATATGGTTCTCCAAAATAAATATTGGTTCTCGCTCGTGCGACTAGTGGAGTAACATTAGCATGGCTTTCTCAGCATTACGTTCCTAGATTAGGTTCTATACATAAGAAAGAACAAATCATGCAACAAATAATGCCTATAGGAATAGAATAGTTTTGAAATTTAACAATTGAAAATAAAATTATAATTAATTAATTAATTCAATTATTCTACAGCTGGTTTATAATTTCGTTCTAATATATAAATACAGCAAGTAAAATTGTTAATAAAAACTTTCATAGCAAAAGTAACAAAACTCCAGCAAAATATGCGAACATAAAAAGTCCAGTACGGGTTTGGATCAGTTGGTTAAGGTGCGCTGATTCTGAGCTTCATATTTGGCAGGACCCGAATTCGATTCCTGGTACTTGCAGTCTCAAAAATAATTATTTACGAATAATTAAATATAAGAATTATTTCCAAGAC